GTCTTAGCCAGGTCTAGTTCTTCCTGAGCTAAGAGTCTTTCTCTTAGTTATTTTGAATAGCATTTTTCTACGATTTGATCCCTTAGCATTTCTTCTTCGAGCGCCCCGAATTTACACGTTTTTCCAATTCCCTTAACGACGTTAGATACGCATCGATTGTCTCATCAGCATTTTGTTTTCGACTGCGAAACTTGTGTCTTTCAGCAACGACGTTTCTTCTCGGCGCGAAATAGCCTTCAAGAGCTTCAACTGCCTCTTTAAAACTTTCTTTCTTGCCGGGCAATGTTCTAAATATTCTTTGCACCGCCGGCCCTAGGCAATGCAGCATTGTCGCTGTTTGGACACCATACGACTTTTTTTCGAGCTCGACCGCTACAGCATAGATATTAAAAGACTCTATCCAAGCTTTCCATTCTATGTATGCATCTGTGGCTTCGATATTGAACTTCGTAGGAGGAGGCAACACGCTTTCAGCCATCTTCGTCGCCAAAGTAATAATGTTGTAATCCTTTATTCACATGTGCCTACACTTTATATACTAACTGATTTACATAAATTATACATAATTAATTCCTAATACACTACACATTTGTTTTATCACGTCCAACTCTACCACATTCTTGAAGATATTCATCAAGTCCACCCGATGGTCCCAAGTGAATGACCACATTTCCCCCTTTGATATTCACTCCCATTCCAAATGCAATTGTGCAAAATACAACCCGTACAGTGCCATTCTCTTTACAAAACTCTGTTTCTACAGTCTTTTTGACAAGGCTGTGTGCTTTTTTATGGTACATTGCAAATAACCTGGATCTATCGTTTATGGGTTCCTCTCCAGTTGGACGGTAATATGCTTTCTGGCCAAGACACTGAGTAAATAGTTCAAATAACTCCTTTACATGATCTTTTCTTCGACAAAACACCATCACCTTTGTAGTATTAATCTGCTTTTCTTCCAACTCATTGATGATGGGTTTAAATGTGTCATACAAGTTTTTATGATCAACATCTGTAATGGTATACCGTATATTTTGCTTGTTTGGGTCACCAAGAATCTGGACACAATCCCTCATACAGAGATCCTTTATGATGGTCTTCCGTGTTGCTTCTGTTGCTGTGGCAGTGAGTGCAATGAAAGGAACATTCTTGTGCACCAACGACCTTAGCTCTGCAAGTCGACCATAATCACTTCTGAAAGCTTCCTCTGTGAGGCTATCCTTTTCCTTAAAAAACAAACCATGTGTTTATTAATAAGATATTATTTTACAATAATGCTTACTGTAGATAGTTCTTTATTAGGCGGTTGCAGACCAGCAGGTTTTCTATGATAAGTTTATTGTGTAGCAAGTTTATTTGCTCGTATGGGATACTTTGTTGTTGATACAGTGCACGTGACATAGGGAAAACGTAGAAAATTGCTTTACTCTGTTAAATATATAAAGTAACAGCCCTATGTGTCCAACTAGGACAAGCAACAACATGAAATATAACTACTGTCGAGACTACTGTATATTGAACAATTTAATAGGCAAATATAATGTAATATGCAAATTAGCATGGACCTGTTCTGACCACTGTTCTTTCAGGCAAGCTAGCCCTGACTGGAAAATTTGGAAATTGCGCGTGGAAAATTTTGAAACTTTAATAGTAAATATATAGAAAGCATCAAAATTGCGCGGAGAAGAACTACTTCCCGTCCTTCTCCGCGCAATAAAGCTAGCTTCAAGCCCTCATACATGAATTTTTCAAGTTTATATGCCACTTACCACTTGGCGATGCAATGACTTTCATCGATAAATACGGCTTTCAAGCTCTCCTTCAAGTGTCGAAATATGTAGCGGATTATAATAATATATAATAATTATTCAGAAGTGCTTCGGGACTCCCAAATACGATTCTGGATTTGAAATCTAAGATAGATTTCAGTTAATTTTCCGAGCAGTCGTCTCCAATATAGAAAGAAGGAATTCCACGACTGACCAAATTGCTAACTTGGTCTTTCATATAAAGCACGACCAACGGAACGACAACGAGAACCAGCGACTTGTTATTTTCCGACAAGTACTCGAAAGCATGCGGAGCTAACTCAAAGGTTAAGCTTTTCCCATATCCTGTCTGTGCCGAAACGAACACATCTCTGCCAGATAGATAGGCTTCAATGGTCTGCCGTTGATACTCTTTCAAGTCTAAATGGCCAGAAAACTGTTGTGCTTTTGCAATCGCCTTTGAAACCGAATTCTCCATTTAGAAAATACCTAATTTACGGCCAATTGTATTAAAATTGTAAACACAGAAACTACAGACACAGTGTTGAAAGGCAGAACACGAAATACTGCGCAATTTCCTTGTTTCCGGAAGTCTGTTTATAAATATATGTCAACACGTCTCCTTCACGCTTCTCTGATTGGTTGAAGAGATCATCAACAAATGAATATACACAATATATATAGATCAGCGTTACTGACCAATTTTTGGGTCAGTAAAATTTGGCGCGCTGCAAGTATGACAAGTCGGTCTCCCGCAAGCGACTTCGTCGCTCGCGTTCGCTGCGCGCGTTTCGTTCGAGGCCGACTTGTGGCGAGTCTAACGACTCAGCAATTAGCCAGGACGTACCAAACTTAATTCGCCACTCATGCAGCGCTTTGGATTGCGTGATTGAAACGCTCAAAATTGTTACGCTTACACACGACACGGAAACGCTTTACTCGAGCACGTCGAGGTCTAGTTTAAAGCAGGTGACAACAATATTTAATATAGGCTTGCTCAGCCAAGTTTGTCCTACTCTGTTACCTAACTCATCGCTCTGTGGTCTAGATAATAGATATCTCGCGTTTGGAGCATGCAATTTATTAACTAGATTGGCTGCGCCTTAATTTTATTTTAATGCATTATCAAGATAAAAAAGCAGTCTACTTTCAGCACTTTATGTACCGTTTAATAAACGAGCAGGAGTGTTTTGTACTGTTCAACAAACGAGCAGGAGTGTTTTATCACATATACAACACGACGCGTAGCGGAGTGTTTTATATGTGATAAAACACGAACTACGAGTTTATTAATTAAACAGCTTTAAAAACGTCTCAGTTAGATCACGGCATTGGCGAAATAATTTTCCAAAATAACTTTGTATTAGCTGAGAAAATACAAGTTGAAATTTGAAGCGTGTTTTATCACATATAAACACAAGCCACGCTTATATGATTCCTCTTTGTGTT